TCTGTTCCTGTTTGGCTGTGACATAATCCTGGAGAGATATATAAGCTCTGCTGTTGCCATCAACACCTTTATTTATAGCTCGCCCTGCTTTTCAGTATAGTCCTATTTCGCTTAATGTAACTAACTGGATTGGCTCTCTTCTATATTCAATCCACTGACATGGGAGCTGGCTCAGTGTCATGATGTTACAAAGTTCAGTCCCAAATGCAGAAAACCGAACAGAAAGACCAGGGAAAAGGTTTAATGGGTTTTATTGAAGAGGTTAAACAGAGGGAGAAGTGTTGCTCTGAACACTGCTCAACTGGAACTGTATAGTCAGGGGAAGACACAGCGGTTAGTTCAGGCTCAGTGGGGAATTTGACTTGTGAACTTGGAGAAGAGGATTTGGTTGCCGACTCACGTTTCCAGAGAAGTTGTTGAATCCTTGACTCCTGTCTGTGTGCCATGGTTCCAGTTTTTGTCTGATTTGGTGGAGGGCGGAACAGGGTTTACACAGAATGCGGTTGTTGGTTGGTGAATGGAGAAACTGACTGCCACTCAGATTTCCTGCTGTACTTGAACAGGTCATAGTGGAGAATAATCCCTTTCTCAGTGAGAAGCTCAAACGATCTCTTGAGGAAAGTGGATCCAAACCTCCTGTTTGAACCCCAGCTTAGTCTGAAGCTCAGTTGATCCTTCCAGGGAGAGAAGGTCCGAGAAATCCAGTTTGCAGGATGACTTCCTGCCGAAAGGCAAAGACAAAAACAAAGTTAAACTCAGGTTGACAAAAAAACTCAGTTTGACTCAGCAAAACTCAGCTTGGCTTGAGTACCCAAAACTGGCAAACACTCTGGCGTCGAGGTAGTGGCAGTCAGCAACTTAAGAACACTGTTTAACGAGGAAACCATCAGCAGGTGTGTGAGGAGGCGGACCAGAACCAGGCGCCTCCTGGTGGATGAAGGGAGACAAAACACAGAAACACAAACACAAAGACAGGAGTCCTGACACTCGGTTCTCGTCTGCCTGGCTGTAAGTTTCCTGGAAGGGGCCACCTGTGGAGATGGTTGACAGTTGCCTTTTGTATCTCTGCTTCTTTCCGTATCTCTGCTTCTGTCTCTCTGAACCCCAGTTAGCCTCGGCAGATGGCCGCTCACACTGAGCCTGGTTCTGGTGGAGGTTTCTTGCTGTTAAAAGAAGTTTTTCCCATCAGTTGGTGTTGGAGAACATTTAAAACGCTTAATGCATAATTTTGTGAAGCAGCAAGATAATATATATAAGACACTGAAACATTAAACTAACTCAATTTGGAAATAACATCTTTTGTACTGTAAGTTTATGATTTTAAAATACAAATAAACATAATAAATACATATAACATTTTTTATGCATTGTTTTATAATCTCAAATTTTTTTAACGATATTAAACAATACTGATACTGTTTACTTTAAAACAGCAATTGTCCACAAGATGTAATTATAAGCAATTGTCGTTGTTTATAGTATTTTATGGTTATTTAACAAATTCACAATTTTCTTTACATTCAGGTTTTTTTTAAGTTAAGGAGGAACGTAGTCCTTGTCAACAATGGATCAGCATTCACCTACAGGTAAATTATCATGTAAACACAAAACCTGTTTCATTCTATTGTTATTTTTCTATGACTTTTCCATGTTTTTTTATGATGGGGTCATTGCATTATATAGCTGGGTTAAAACTAACCTAAGTAGCTAGGTTTAATTCTAGTTTATCCTGAAAAACGAAATAAAAAAGGCTGCAATATACATCTATACTATATATACCATTATATTGTGGCCACATAATTAACAGGGAGAGGTTTCAAGTATGGTTTAAAGAGGTCTGGTTATTATAGTATGGACAAGAAGAATTTAAATCTGCCATTGATTATAATACTGTACACCTGATTTTAATATTGTTACATGCACATGTCTAAACCTGATAATATTTTTCTTTTGTTACAGAGTTATCTAACACTCTCTCCAAGCTTGGACTGGAAAAATATCATCCCAACAAACTCACTCTCCGTTCTCTGCTGCTGATCAACAAAGACAGCATGTATGATAATCCTGCTTCATCACCAAAAGACATACCACGGTATTTTCTTACAAAATTGCTACAGATCAATGCTGATTGCAGAGGCTGCACTGAATTACCAGATGATGAAGAGGAACATTTTGATCCCTTCAGCTTACAACCTTCTACTGCAGAAGCCAATGAAAATAAGGTTAATTATCTTGATCTAATTGTGGCACTATTCCTCTGTGCTGACAGTTTCTTACAACAAAGAATGGCACTTAGGATGTCTATGTGCCAATTTTCTTTCCCATTGCTGTTGCCACATTACAACAACAGTCAAAGTGGTCTGATGCTTTGGACTTTGAGAGATATTGTCAAAGAATGGAGTACACCCAAGATGTCTGAATCTAAGAATTTTGCAGAAGACAGTGTTGCTGAAATAAAAGCACCATTCTTCTCCTTTGTTAGACTAAAAAACAGCAGTTTATCAAAATCTCAGTTGCTCAATCATATACTGAGTCATGGCCAACAGAATAAAGATGTATTTATGCACAGGGATATGGAGGGAGGGGCACATCAGAGAGAGATTGCAAATGGACTAATAGAGATTAGCTGGTTCCTCCCCAGTGGAAGAGAAAATCAAGACGTTTTCCAAAAGCCAATAATCTTTGCTAATTTACGAGGAGATGTTTCTGAGTCACCTACAGAGTTTTCTTTTCTTAGTCAAGTGTCAACAGCTATCTTTGTCCTCATGGACAAAATTCAGGAAGATGAAAAAAAAATGTTAACCTCTTTACATGATGTGAAATCAAAACTCTTCTTTGTGTTCAGTCCAAACAAAAATACAATGAAAGATACTGTGTCAGTTAAGACAATGGTGGAAAAGTTAGACATACCAAAAAACCAAGTGATCACCAAAGACCAGAAAACAAACATTGCAGGTTTTTCAAAGAAGTTCTGTGCAACCATCAACAAATCACCAGCTCATTTAACTAGCTGTATGAGCATTGTAAACATGAGTGATAAAGCTATGGAACTTGGTCTGTCTGTGGATGAACATAGGAGTGACACACAAAAGAAGGCAGCTGAGAGAATTATGGAAGGAATTTGGGTAAAGACCATATCTGATTACAAAAAACAGGAACTTTGCTTGCAGGGAGAAAATTGGAAAAAGATCTCAAAAATAGAAAAGGAAGAATGTAGGTTGAATAAAGCCGATGACTCAACACTGGAGGATTATAAAGCTGAGCTCCAGAAGGAAAAAGAAGCCCTCCGAAAGGAACAAAGTAAATATAAACCATCAAATGAAATGAAGATGTTTATTGAAAGTTTATCTGTAAATGACAAGGAAAAGAGAGACTTTTTCTTTAAATGGATGAAACTCGAACTTGATTCTTATACAAGAATCAATTTTTCACAGCTTAGAAACAAGTTACAGATAGAACACGAGAAGGAAAATGTAAAAGCTGTTGCTGAATTAGGTCAAACTCTGCTTGACAGCTCTTTAGGAATCGAGCATTACATGAGAGAGATGGGACTGATCTATGAATTTTCTCATGAAACCACAGAGGAAATCACCCGTCTCCCTCGTTTAGCTGCTGAAATGGTGTTGGATGGACATCCTTTAGAGCTTCTGGATGGTGATGCTTCCAACATCCCAGAAAAGTGGGTTTCAGCTGTACTGAATGAGGTTCACATGCTAGTGGGAGGAAGGAGCAGATTATTGGTGCTGACAGTTTTGGGTGTTCAGAGTTCTGGAAAGTCAACATTACTAAATACCATGTTTGGTGTTCAGTTTCCAGTCAGCAGTGGCAGATGTACAAGAGGAGCCTACATGATCTTATTACCAGTGGGGGAGGATTTAAAAAGTGTGCTAAATTATGATTTTGTAGTCCTCATTGACACAGAAGGTCTAAAGTCTCCTCAAATGGCTCAACTTGAGGACAGTTACGAACATGACAACCAGCTGGCAACCTTTGTTATTGGTTTAAGTGACATCACCATCATTAACATTGCAATGGAGAACGCAACAGAAATGAAAGATATTCTGCAAATTGCAGTTCATGCATTCATTAGAATGAGAGAAATCGGAAAAAGGCCAGTTTGTCATTTTGTGCATCAGAATGTTGCTGGAATTTCAGCTCATTCTATGACCATGACTGATAGAAAATGTCTGTTGGACCACCTCAATGAAATGACTGAAATTGCTGCTGAAATGGAAATGCAGTCTTCAGTCAAATTATTCACTGATGTTCTGGACTATGACATGGAAAAAAACAACTGGTACATTCCAGGACTCTGGCTTGGGACTCCTCCAATGGCTTCAGTCAGCACTGGTTACAGTCAGGCTGTTGCTGAACTGAAGAAAAATCTTCTCATGACAAAGAGAAAAAACATAAACACAGATGAGTCACGCATCCCAGAGTTCCTGGAATGGATGAAAAGTCTTTGGAAAGCAGTAAAATATGAAAACTTCATTTTTAGCTTCAGAAACACACTTGTTGCAAAAGCCTATGACAACCTATGGAGAGAGTTCAATCAGTGGGAATGGGAGTTCAGAAAACAGATTCTAACCCGGGGGACAGAAGCAGAAATGGAAATCAGCAATGCTAACACTGAAAGTGACCAGGATCTGTTTAATCTGATAGACTCCAAAAAAGATGAGCTTTCAGAAATTATAGATGGGCAAAAAGGTATTATGAGAAAGAAGGTGTTAGACTACTACGAAAGAAAAGATGTCCACACAAATCTTATCGAGAAATACAAAACAGACTTTCTCAAAAACATTGAAGGTGTTGCAAAAGAAATACAAAGGTCAATGAAGAGCAAATTAGATTGTGTTTATGAGGTGCAAAAAAGCTCAAAACTGGTTCAGGACATTCAGAGAGAATGCAAAAGATCAATTGAAAAAGAGGTGGCAAATCTTCTTAAAGAGTTTAAGGGAAATCAATTGTCTGATGAAAAGTTGACAGATGAGTTTGAAAAAATCTGGTCAAAAGTGAGGGAAAATATGTCTGAACTAGAACCGCAGGACATTTCTGGACAAATAAAGCGTCTATTGAGAGAAAGTTTTGGAAATCGCAGTATCAGTGAGGATGTTCAGAAAATTAATAATCTAAAAGAAACAGAAGAATGTTATTTTAAGGTAAAATCAGATCACCTGAATATCCTGAAAAAACTATTAAGCTTTATGGATTTTCAGAGGAAAAGAAGAAAAAAAGACTTGCAAGCAGCAGCTGATGCTCTAATTGATTCCTGCAAACAAAAAATCATTGGAATCACAAAGACAAAAACTGATTATAACGAGTTTTATGTAAAGGAGCTTTTAGACATGATTAATTCCACACTTAAACAAAATTGCAAAGATTACACCATCACATTTGAAGTTGATCTGAAAGTTCATATCTGTGGTTTTGCCTTGAAAAAATTTAATGCTATGCACAAAACATACCTGCATGTTAACAGTCCCCTAAACCAACTGGATAAGTACAAGAAGCAGTACTTGTCAGACTTTATTGATCACTACAAACAGTCAAAGAACAAGACTGAACAAAGCCAAAAGAAAGCCAGTGACTTTGTCAAGTTTTGTCTCAAACCAGCTGTGGAGGACTTCATCAACAGATATCTGGGAACAGATATAGTGGACGAAATTTTGAAATACTGTGCATCAGAGGAGTACAGTTCAAGTTCAGTTTTCAAATATAACATTCAAAAACAGCTATTGCAGGAAGATAACTTTGAAGGTTTTGAAAAGTATATTTCTAATTTTGAACTTTATATTAAAAACTGGATTTTTCAACACATCCTGCAAAAGATGTCTGAGGATGAGACTTTGATCAAACTAAAGAAAAAGAATTTGGAGATCATTGTCAACAAAATCACAGAAGCAATCAAGCTTGCTTCAAAAGCAAAGGAAGGTGCCCTGCTCTCGAAAACCACAGAAAACATTGCAGAGTTTTTCAGCAGAATGCAAAAATATTTAGTAAAAGATATATCATTTTCAGTAGAGGCTGAAAAAACCACTCTATTTCCAGTCAATATCAAAACTCTAGAGTTTGCTGACAGTCTATTGACCTTTGTTAAAGAGCTCAGAAAACAGTTTCAGGAGGAATTTTCACGCTCTGATGACGTTGCTGACACAATCAGCAAACTCTCAGTTAAACCACAAGATGAGCTTTTCAGGAAAGTGTTTGGATGTGGGAGACAATGCCCTTTTTGTAAAGTTCCCTGTGATGCAGGAGGCAAACAACATCTGCAGCATCAAGCAGCTGTTCATCGACCAAAAGGTCTTGGTGGATATAGGTATGAAACTAATGATAAACTGGTGGAGACACTCTGTACAACTAGTGTGAACAGTGAACAGCGTTTTAGAAATACAGACACTGACTGGAAATATCATCCCAATAAGAAGTACATGAAGATTTATCCAAACTGGAAAATTCCTCCAGACTCCACCATTGAGGCATCAGACTACTGGAAGTACGTCCTGGTAAAATATAATGATAGATTTGCTAAAATGTACAAGGCCAAACCAGCAGACATTCCAGTGGCCTGGAAGAACATCACTAAAGAACAAGCTCTAAAAGGCCTAAAAGATGCTTTTAATATGAGAGAAAATAATACAGAGCTCACCGATTAAACATCTGAAAAATCATTAAATGTTTTAGACAGAATCCAAATCAAGGGAGTATATAAACCCGTTAGGCCATTAGTAGTCATTGAAAAAATATTTAAGGTGCCTCATCCTTATACTCAAGGTAAATGATATATTTTCTTTTATAATTTTTTTTTCTTTTACTTGGAGACTGTTGGAATGTTCGGGCTCTTTATGAAAAAGTAAACAAGAAATGCAGGTTTTCTAAAACTTCACTGTCATGCAAAGAAATATATACAAATCATTGACAAATACAATATATGTATTGTTTTACATTTTTCCTTTGGGTTTTTGCCTGTGGATTTTTGCCAAGTCAACAAGACAATATTAGTTTCGTTATTAATCTTTTTTTTTCTAAGGTGCATTCAATTGTTACAATAATGTAATCTAATTTTCATGAATCATAGTCTTTTTTTCTTATGTTAGATGCTTCATACTTTTTGCAGGTGTAGACAGCAGATGTGATTCCTGGGACTTTAACTTACATTTATTCAATGTCTCAGGATTGCCTTACTTCTTTATAATTCAGTAAATAAAATTGAGATTTATTCAGGTACTAGATATGTTCAACTACTGATTTTTATTTTTTTTTTATTTTTGCATGTTGTTGTTATACATATGGTCTTAAGTACTTTTAGATATATTCAGAACATTGTATTTTTTTCCTTTGTAATGTCAATGAGTAAACAAGAAATGCATGGTTATCTGAAACCAATAAACAAGAACAAAATGCTTTCTTTTTCAAAATCACAAAGGCAGTGTAGAAATACTGTAAGTTTCCTATGTTCTATATTAAATGCAGTTCAATGTTGTACATACTTTTGAATTAGTTGCTTCCTAATAAAGAAATAAACCCCTTTGAACTACCTTTGTTTCCATCTGAAAAACTCACATGAAGAGAAAAGACAATTAGAAGAAATGTATTGATACAATTACTTGGTCTTTGGCGCCCAGACCTCAGCAGGAACCATAGTACTGAATTTTGATAGATATACATGAAAAGGAGCAAAGAATAGGGCTGTTTCCCCCTGAAACTGGTGGTGGAGTGGTGATAGATGAAGTTGGTCAGTCTGTAGACTGCTGGTTAGCGACACGGTCTGCTGACCTTTATGGGGAGATCCAGTGAATTGCGTGAGCTGATACTAGAGCTTCCCTCAGGGACCTGGAAGATGGAAGTCCAGTTTGGATAACACAGGTTGAGAGAACCTGTCTATGATGAGCAAGCATGAACCAACAGTGGAGAGGAAAAACTCCCTGTTGGGAAGAAACCTCTGGCAGAACCAGGCTCAACATGGTGGTCTTTTGCTGGACCAGTTAGATGAGAATAATAATGACAACCACCCAAGCATCACTGTGCACCTCATCGATGCCAGCTGGGAACTTTGCTCCTTTGCTTTAGGTAGGCTATGTTATGTAATGTTAAATTTCAATTTACCACAACACCATGAATGATTACCACAACATTATGTTTGCTTATAGATGATTGCTTAGGTGTATGTGGGTAAACTGGGACGCTATTTGAAAATTTACTGTACGTGATATTTATTCAGCCTATTTCATTTTTAGAGCTAGAGTCATGACAAATTGATATCACAAGACACATTCTAAATTTAGACATTCTAGATTTTACTATTATCCTAAAACATTTATTGCCCCACAGTCGGATTTTTGGAGAGACTATATTTTTAAAGTGAGATATCTATAATTGGAAGTGGGACACTATTTTTTGCAGCAAAAACACAGCAACAAATGATCAAAAAGAGTTATTATAACTTTGTCAAAATCTTCAGTAGTAGGACGAAAATACGTGTGATTTTGCAAACATAAAAAAGTAAATCTGACACACTGTGAATGTTGACTACGTGAAAAATAAGTCTTGACATACAAACCTAGTTTTTTGAACCAATCCATGAGTCTGGAAATTAAAAATTGAGTGATTCAGAGGATAAAATAAGAAGAACCCGAGAGAACATTGAGCATGTCCATGTCATGAAAAAAAACAGAGGACCCAGAATCCAGGCAGAACAGACAGTGGGATAACTTCCAATAGCGTTTATTAAAATCAGGTGGATCTGCAGTGCCTGCGGGTAGGGTGTCTATCACTAGAAAATCTGAAAAAGGAAACACAGGTTGGTGAAAACGTAAATCTAATGGAGGAAGATTATGAACATGACCTCACTAACCTGGTTTAACAAGTTCAGTCCATTTCCAGAGAACAAGGTAGGATCCACCCAGTGGGCTACTCAGAGTGTCCCAGATGCTGCAGCCCCAGAGCACAAGCAGGAGTCTGAAATCAGGTCTGGGAAACCGATCAGAACAACAAGGTTCAGAGGTCCAGGAGTCTTAAGCCAGGTTTGAACAGGAAAAGGCTGGTTAAAAGGTTCAGGAGTCCAAAGACAGTTCAGGCAACCTTTTCAGACGGAACAAACAGGCTCAGTGGTTGAGAAGCGATCAGGATCAGGAAATCAGACACACTTTCGAAAGATAAAAAATCCTCTCAACACTGGCCAGCCAGAATAAGAACTGGAACAAGAGCAATATTCTGTCCCCAATGGCTGGGACTGAACAGCCACTAAACCTGGCTACATATAAGATAAGACAGACTTTATTGATCTCACAGTGGAAAAAAATTAACTTGTCACATCGGCTCAATTGTCAAAAGAAGGTGCCAAAAGGAGGAAAAGGTGCATGGGGTATGTACAGTGTGTCCACATATATACAGTGGATCGAGAAAAAAAAAAAAAGAGGTAAGGCAGAGATTTAAGCTGACTTTTACACATATGAATTTGCCGATGCAGCAGGTAAAGAACAACAGTAAGGGGGTGAGATAACTATAACAGCTGAAGTCTCTTATTTAACAGGATTATTGCACAGGGTATTAAATAGTATTTACCCATTAGTTATTTCATAGGTTATTGCAGTTACGGTGCCGCATTGTTTTAAGTCTGATGACAGCAGGGATGAATGACCAGTGGTAGCACTCCTGTTTTACAAACAGGGTATATAAGTCTTTCACAAAGGAGCTTTATATAAATCAAATTAAATTCAATTTGTTAAGAGTATCTAAGAAAAAAAATTAAAGCAACCAGTATAGATAATGTTTAAATAATATAAAAAGCATGTGGAAAACCCTTAGTCAGTTCGAAAAAAGGAAGTGTCGAAGTTTCATTCAACTTTTGTTGATGGAAACTCTGTTTTGTCTGATCCATATAAAATAGTTTTTCATTGTAATATTGTTTTTCAAGTATAGGTCTCACACTTGCCAAAAGATCCAAAACACAACGATTAATCTTACAAATTTTATTAAAGACTAATTTCCAATGATGGATAGCTTCGATCTTCCAAGCAGTCGTGAAGTGTATGAGTTTTTAATGCAGTTCTGCTCCAGGGCATGATGGCATCAGAACTTCTTTGGTTAAAGATGAGCAGACTCCATTAAGAAAACCTATGAAACTCATATTTGCACTGTCAATTACTACTGGTATTGTCCCTACAGATTTAAAAGTAGCTAATGTCATCCCTTTATTTAAATCTAGTGATCCAAGTATGTTCACAAATCACTATCCTGCTTCCGTTTTACCATGTTTTTCAAAAGTTTTAGAAAAATTGATTTATAAAAGATTATTAAAACATTTAAATACACTTAATATTAATTATCAGTATCAATATGGTTTTAGAAACAATGATTCCACTTGGCACTTGTAGAACTTACTGACAGAATATTAACTGCATTATGCAATAATGAATATATCATGATGGGTCTAATGTGTTTGACCCACATGCAGAAGCACTCACAGAGACGGGAAAAAGTTTAACAGTTTATTGACGGGTTACTGTACAGAGACTAGGAAAAAACTGTTCTTCAGCTTGGGGAGGTTCCTGCGGTCAGGTGAACCAGAAGCGGAAGCTGTAGGAGGAGATCAGAGTGGTGAGTTCAAGGACTGTGGGAAATCTGGCTGATTGTCTGAACAAGGTAAACTTGGACTCACTGTGGTTGTTAGGGAGGGTTACTGAGTTCCCGTTTGTTGAGGTGTTGTGTTTAAAAGGAACTATTTTCTGTGTAGTAATACGGCAGTAATTAGTCGCACACTGCGTATAGTTATAGGAATGAAGGCTGTATCGGTTGTGAATCTTTTCAAGTAGCCATTAAAGTTCCCTAAACGGCACGCTGCTTTCCCCGTCTATTTTGTTGATGAGAACACAACATGAGGCCTGGTCTGTAGAAGGTTTAGTTCGTTGGAGGGCAGACAGGCAGACTTTGGAGATCCTGAGGAGCAGCTGAGCAGACTGACACTCGGTTCCTGAAGTGCTTGGCGTTCAGATGAGGAGATCTGTCTCCTATTCACAGTGTGACGAGTATGTCCCTTCCAAGACTTGAAGGGCCTGCTTATCCAGTGGATCTGAGAAATCCTGCCGGAGAATCAAAGACAAAAACTTGGTTTGTGCTGAAAGAGCTCAGAAGAAACTTGGACTTAAAGTAGACTCTGCAAACTCTGAGGGGCTAGAGTACCCAATACTGGCAAACACTCTGGCGAGGAAGTGAAGAAAGTCTGCTCCTTAAATACTCCTTAGGAAGTGATGACCCAATAGGCTGCAGGTGTGAGGTGAGAAGAACAGAAAACCCTCCAGACCAGCAGAAGACAATGGCACCATCTGGTGGGTGTATGGTGGAAGTGCAAAAGAACAAAACAAGCCCCATAAACAGGAACCCTAACAGAATATACAATAGGTGTAAATGACCCAATTTCTAATTTTGCTTCAAAGAAATATTACAATGTGGAATTACTATAAGCTATTATTTTTACCTGTATATTTTTGTAAAATGTATAATGCTTTACATTTTGCCTTGTTTTGAGGGACTTTTATTTTGAAACTACTTGCCCAGGTTTTAGTTATTGGAAAAGGCAAGATACAGAGAAGAAGAGCATAAGACTGAAACGTAACAAAAGAAAGATAATGTAAAAAATATGCTTCATTTGAATGAT